GATTTTGGAGGGAACGGCCATTTGACCTTAGCAAACGCGACGAGGAACCAGAAGCATCCCGCGCCTTCGTGTTTCGCGACGATTTCTCTCAAAGCGACTCATCTTTATCGTTTCGTGACACGATTTCGAGGTGTACGGTCCTTTAATCCTAGCAAACTCGAGGAACCAGGAGACTCGCGATGTCAAACATCTTTAAAACGCTCTTTTTTTTCAAAGTAACAGACTTTTACAGTGAGAGGTGAATTAACATGGCCGTACATTGGTAAGATTGCATTTGAGAGGAAGTGACATAAAAAGTTTTCTGACAAACCAAATGGAACTAACAGTGGTTGGATGTTTAAACGGAAGATTGGAATTTTGGAATAACAATCGCTCAGCAGAATTTTCCTACGACGGAAAGCAACTATCGATGATGTATTATTCAACGATCGGCAATTCGTTGACCACTCGAACGAGGAATTTCGATGGGCCTACACGAGCAACCTTGTTACCAGTCTGGCATCGCAACGCTGAATGTTTCGCTACGTAAGTAACGTATATAGACAATACCTTAACGTTGCATGCGTCTCGAGTTATAATTTCGCCTTGTCGATAGCCGGTTCATACATCTTTCATGACGGCTAGAATTCTGAATAGAATCGTCCTGCAACTGCGTTTCGGAAATCCACGAACGCATTCGTGAATGTCGATTAGCATAACGCATAACCTTGTTCGAAGCAATGTTTTCTGCAAAATGTTGCTACATTTGTTCGTTGAATGACACAATAGATATCAATCTTTTTCATTGAAAATCCGGGTCCGCTTACGATACGTTGTCGATTCGTTCGCGTTACGCTTACGGTCCGATTCCTGCTGTGAATGATTAACATAATACTAATGACATGGGAGTTATCTAAAAAAAGACTGAAACGTTATTCGGTAACACGTAAGTTGCGTGAATTACCGCTAACCGAGACGGTGCATTTTGCATGTACAACGCGTCGCGTGCTCCGATATCCCTGACAATGACGAACGTGACGTAAATGACGGATGCATATTCGTAAAGGCCGAGTGATTGACACGCAACGTGTGTACGCGACTTTAAATTGTATCCAGAATTTCGTGGCTGTCGAACGATGGGCGGCACACGACCCAAATCGCGATGGTTAACGGATTTCGCGAATACGAATCAATTCTTTATCGAAAGTTCTCGGCGTTGTCAGCTGGCTTCTTAAAACATGCCCGATTTCGAGAAGGTGGATACTCGGCAAAAGGGTTAACCGGTCGAAGAAGAAAAGTGCAAGGTTCGGCGATAGCTCAAAGGATAGTCACGCGCCGTTGATTAGTTAGCGCAAGAATGTTGACCGTGCAAAGTTGAGCGCAAACGCGTGGGAAAGCGGCGCGGCGCGTCGCGATGAAAAATCGGCGTCGCGTTTTGTACCTTCCCGTGGACGATCGGGTGGCGAGAAAACGCTGAAAACGAAAGTCTTCGCGATATGCAAACTAAAATTTAGTTTAGTTTGCAGAATTTTTTCGCGTTTGCCATTCTCAAAACTTTCGGCGCGAAGTCTCGTATAACAGTTGCGTCGCGACGAGCGTACGAGCGATCCCATGGTGGATCTAATTGGTAGAGCTGGTCCTCGGGTGAAGCAGGAATTCGTGCAAGCCGTGCAGATTCTCGCATTCCAACGATACCAGAGGTCCGGCTTCTCTCCCTCTCTTTCTGCATTTATAGAGCTGCTCGCGCCAAGTTTGAACTCAGCCAGGCCTTCGTTCGCGAAACGGAAGATGCTCGACCGGTTTCTTTTTTCTTTTGCCGGACCGCGTGTTAGAACGCGACCACCGAGCAGCCGCTCGCTCGAAGAATCTTAAGCTCGGTTTACACGCTCATGCAATACGCGCATGCTTGTGTAATCAAATTTGTGCAATGCGAAACGCCGAGGGATGCTCGTATCCGCAACGTTTCGTTTTATCGGTGAATTCTGAAAACTTACAGAGCGCATCGTTGGTTTTATCGATGGCATAGTAAATATCGTGACTCGACATTATCGGACGGGTGTTGGAGGTCTGAGCAACTTTTTGACCGATCAAACATTCAAGTCCGAAGGTTATCGATAACTGGTCGTCCTCGCTGGCAGGATCGAAAGAAACTGATCTTTTCCCGGTGTCTAACAGGCATTCGGACAATGTGGCTGGTTAACAGCGGCGTCGTAGACATTCCAAGGGGATAAAAATCCTGGGGGCTGATTGCGCGCGGCGCGCTTGCGGCGCGCTTACGGCGCGAGTCGCGTTCTGGATCGCGAACGTCGCCGGTTGATGGGCTCGTTCGTGCTCGTTTTCTCGGCTGTGTTTTAGCGCCTTGCCTCGAGACAAGGAGGCCGAGTTACAGCCGCGTCGACGATAAGTCAGCCGACGAACTCTCCTCTTCGGATACGGTATAACTGTAAAGGGACGTTTCCTCTCTCGTTTCGATCCCAGGCCAATTGCCGTTCAGGAAAAAAAAACGGCTTTGCTTTTAAAGCCGAAAATTTACACGAACGTGTCGCGCGACGAACGCGACGATAAACTCGATGATGCATGCGCGTCATTTCTGGGACGCGGGAACGTTTCCTTGCGAGGATCGTACGCGAGGAGGTAGAAATCATCGAATTTTCATTTCGAGAAATAAAAGATTAAGAAAAGATATGAATCTTTTGTCCCCTCGTTGAACCGCGGATTCCTCGAATTCCTCGGATCAAGGAACAGAACCGAGCGCTGGAACGAGACGCGGAGTATGACTTATCGAAGCTAATCGAATCGATGTCGAGGCTCGAGCACCTTCCGGGTCGGCAGACTGGAATGTTGTCGCTTCAATCGGACATATTGGCTTCGCGTAGGCGCCGAGCAGATCCTTTCAGACGCGATCGCTTCCATTCTCCGTCCGGATAATGACGAGTATCGTATTCTTAACATGCTAACTACCTACGGTTTGAACGAATAGAAAAGTCCTTTTCTATTTCGCAATTTGACCGTTCCTTTTCGAAATACGGCGAATGGAAAGTTGAACGAATGCTCGGTCGAGTTCCGGGGTGGGCCGTTTAAACAGGGCATCCCGATCTTCCGGCAGCGTTTAGCCCCGTTGTTTCTCGAGCAAGTCGCTTCGAGGCCTTCTCCGGTGATTTACCATCGATAGTTTCTCCGAATGATTGATTCGGCTAATCATCGTTCGTGACCAGTTCCGTGGAAGAGGATGCCGAGTTATCTTGGTGGTTTGCCTGGGTTAATGCACCGCGAACGAGCACAGCCCGCGCCCTGATACGTTACAGGCTGTCCTTTTATTTCTTCCTTCCTCGAAAACCACCTTCTTTATCGTCTAATCCACCGGCAATTATTAATGAAAACCAACCACTTGATACTTCCAGCTTATTATGTTGCAAATTAGCATATCATAAGCTCGTGATTGGATGCACTCGAGAGGAGATGGCCTTATCATTTCCATCCGACGAGCGATCATCGACACCGGTTACGTAAACCAGTAACCGGATAATCATTGGAAATGATAAATGATGGTGGAGAAAAGGAGTCGGATATGTATTGGCTAGGCGGTCGGTCGTGTCACCGCGTTCCATCAGCCGAGGCTTCTATACCTCCGGCTGAACGGAACGTACACGCGGAGGAAGGCAGAGAGATGTCGAGTGTGGGTGGTTGGTCAGGGTCTGTCAGGGTATATGGTAGTCACAACAATATGGCGGTGGTAAGCGCATACCCATGGCTATGGCAGTGTTTGCAGTGAGTCTGGTCGAGCACTCGCGGTGGCTTGACCGCGCTCAAGGTCCTCCATTCCCTCTTTAATCGCCTTCCTTTTCCAGATCTTTCACTTTGCTTCGCTCCCAATCGAACAGACCGTAGACCTCGATCTATAGCCAACCTGGAGCCGCACCGCCTATGAAAATCCGATCGAAGAAGACTGCATTCCACCAAGACGGACTTTGCGTGTCGTCCATAGTATACTGACCTAAAGATCATCTCATCCTACTTTGCTCTTTCGTGCCAGCGATGGACGTCAGAAGAATCTCGGGTTATAAGCGAACAAATCAGGGCTGAAACGCGGCATGTCGGTTTTAAACACCCGTCATATCGCGCGGCTCGATCGGTACTTCTTGGTACTTCTCGTTTTGAATGGATCACGATGCTGCTCGTTATTAAGGCACCGAGTGTAAATGATCGCGCGTACACCCACGATAATCGACATCCGGTACATGCGAGCCTACCAATTACTCTGCACCTCTTCTACAATAGCTATTCCCACTATATGCTCACATTATAAGCAGAACCTTAATTTTCAAAGATAGTCATAAGACTCTACAAATTTCCCTCTAGATGAGATAAATTTATGAATGCGATTGAGGTCACGCGTCCGTTCGTTGGAAAAATTGAAAAATCGCGATAGCCAATCAATTGGAGGGTTAAAATAGTATCCTCGGATTTAGTCGATTGGGAGGATACAGATATTTTTACGGCGGAATCGAGTGTCGCTGGCCGCATCGTTTCGCCTTCGATTTCCCACGTAAGTCGCGATCCATCTTTGGCGGACAATGAGTAGCAACGGGTCTATTTGGTCGTGGATGCCGGATCGGGGCGAGAAGGAATTCTTGGCGTCGAGGGTGCGCCGCAACACACCTTTGTCTCTCGTTTCAGAGAGCTCTGCCTCCGTTTCGAACGCTCGCTCGCTGGAAACTAGAGAACCTTAACGGCGGCGCGTAACGCACCGAGATTAATGCGTAACCTTTATGAAGCGCGACGCGGCGCGTGGGCGTGCGTTCCGCGTGTGTTCTCCGCTCCAGGGAATTCCTTCCAGCTCCACTTAACCGTCTTTCATAAAATCGTTTCATTCGTGATCTCTCGAATCGTTTTCGTGTAAAATTTCACAAGAGTCTTTTGTTCTTTTTGTTTTTTGTTTTTTTTTAATGCATTTGCGTTTCTTTTTTGTAAATGAAAATTGCAAGTAAAGAGTAATGAAGACATCGAGAACGTGTACTTACCATTTATATTGAACGAGTCTTTCTTGCTTGGCGATTCTTGGCATTCTGGTTTCTCCGTCGCGTTACTCTCGCTATCGCTCGCCCCTTTGTTCCTGCAAAACAAAGGAGGTCTTCTCAATGAAAAAATTTGTTAGATTCTTCTTCGGATCGATGTTAAATGCATTACTTGACGTAAAAACGACTACGCACACGTTTCATCGGTATTCTAAAACAAACAATGGATCGACCGATGTAGAGTTTACGGAGTCCAACGACAAACGAACCAGTATTAAGATACACTGTTTAAATGATAAGATATTTATGGAGTGTTTACGTAGATATTTTCAATAAACTTCAATCTTTAATTTGATATGTCTTAAGTGGTATTTTGTGATACTTTTACGTCATTGAATCATATCAGAATGTCTACATTTCGAAACCAATCATTTGATTAATCGCCACACGATACGAGCTGGCTACAAACATAATTTCACAAGTTTTCTACCTATCCGACGAATGCAATACGTTTTTATTATTGGATAAATTTTTGGATAATTTGTTAATCGCGAGAGGAAACTTACGCATTCGTGTATTCGAGAGAATTTGTTTCCTCCTCTTCGCCAATGGTAGCCAAATTGCTTTGCCAATAGTAATCGCCATCGTCGCTTTCCTCGCTCGTGTCCTCTTCTTCAACGTTTTCCTTTTCATTCCTCGTTCTGTTCACATTCAAATCGTGCAGATTGATATCGTTACACGATCGATATGTATCTTCGATTTCTCGTCGATCGAACGCATTCGTCTTCGATGGTGAATCCATTTCACCGGAATGATCCGACGCATCGGATTGCATATCAATAGGTTCATTAAATTTCGTGCTCATTTCGTGTTCCTCCTCAGAGTCCTCCATGTCTGTCGAGATGGTTCCGCTTCTCATTTCCGGCTTGATTCTCTCATTCCTCTTAACATTCTCGCTATCGCCGTTCGCTCGTTCATTCTCATCGTGCTTAGGCTTATTCTTAACATCCTTCGAGTTAGTAATCAACGGCGCGAAAGCCTTCGCCTTTCTTAACTCGATGATTTCCAGCACCTTGTTAGTCCTGGGTCCGTCATCTTCGTGAACATCATAGTTTTCCATGGATTCAGTGTCGTCCGTCTCCTCGGTCCTCTTCTTTTCACCGAAATCTTCACCTTCGTTTCCAAAATTTTTAGAGAACGTCAGCTGCACTTCAGACTCTTGTTTACTGAGACCATTGGGCCCATTCTCCATCTTCTCTACGCTCGTATCCTCTTCAGGTTTCACGGAGGAAGCTTCGTTCTTCGTTCTCGACGGTTCTTCATCTTCTGTTTCGAAGCTGGACGACATCTTGACGTCTGTTCTCGGTAGAACGGCGGGCGGCGGCGGCGGCGGCGGCGGCGGCGGAGGAGGCGGCGGTCTCTTTCGCCTGACCTTAACGTCTCTTCTGGGTAATGGCTTCGGTGGTAGGACAGGTGCCTTCGATCGTGTGTCGGAAGTTTCTGGGCTGGATCGTTGCTGACGCTGCTCGACGACTCGATCGTTGCTCGTTTGATTGACGCTGATCCTGTTCACGTGATTCCTGACAGGCAGAGGAGGTGGTGTCCTATTCGAGCTTCGTCCGTTCAACGTCGTGGTCGAGTCCGAAGCGTCGTACTCCTCCTCGTGGACGCTGTTCACGCGCTCGACCAGCTCCACGTCGTCCTTAATTGGCCGGAAATGCGTGGTCGAGTCGGCGGCCAGGTCGGCCGTGTAGAAGAGATCTGGCCTGGCTTCGTGGCCGTAACTCAACGGCGCATCCTGAAAGCTCAACGGTGGCTGAAAGGTGATCGTCTCTTCGATCAGCACCGTGTTGGGTGCCACCACTGCGGTCACCTTCTCGACTTCTCCTCGAGACTCGACGTGGGTGACGGCCTCTGAACTTGCCAGACGACGCAGCAGATAATCGGGATGATTGCTCGCGTAATCGGTGTCCATGTTATCGAAAGGACATACCACTTTGGATAGTTGTAGATCGCTGTTCGAGGATCGGTCGAAGTCTTGATCGATTCGGGAGAATTCACCGGGTTGCTCGGACGTAGTGGAGGCGGTTGAGACGGTTGACACGGTCGACACTCGGTCGGATGTTGAGAATCGGTCGATCACCGTGGACATTGAACTTCCTGTGTCGTCCGACGTGCTTCCGTGGGTCGAGCCACACTGAGACCTGGCGTCCACGTACACCATCGCTTCTGGTGGTTCCTACGGACATACGTTAACGTTAATCTATTCCTCTTAAACATTCATCATCGTGAGAGTAATTAATCGATAGTAACCTGTTTCGACTTGGCGAGTTCCGGCGAACGTTCCTTCGGCGAACCCTTGGGACTTTCCTGAACCGATCCGTTAAGAATCTTCGGCGAAGATTCGCAACTCTCGAAAGAAGTGGACTTGCTGTCAAGATTGTTGCTAGGAGAACTGGTTTGCGAGCTGCTCTGCGACCTGGATCCGTTCCAGGACTTCTTCACAGGACTCGGATTAGCTTCGCCGTCGGCTAAGCCACGAGCTTGTCTCAGCTTTCGTGGCGGAACAGGCGGAGGCGCCGATGGCAATTCCGGCGGCACTTTGCTCTTCTCCGGGCATGTTTTTTTCTCAGCGCTCACCACCTCGGGCCTGAGCGCTCCTCTGCACCTAACCATCAGCTTGATAACCAGCTGCGATTCCTTCAATCTCCTCACGCAATCCAAACGGGTCATGTGTGTCACTGGTACACCGTCTATCGAGAGTACCTGCAAGGAAAAAAAGAGACCCACTGATGCGAACGGTGTGCACGTGACACGCGACGAGAGGCTCGTTTCTTATTTACGAGGCGAACAAATCGCGCCAGTTCTCTTGAGAATCGTTACACGGCAAGCGAAGCCTTGGAAATCATGAACGTCGCTCTCGTGATTTCTTTCGGGATCGAAAAAGAGAAGTAAAGAAATTACCTCGTCACCCTCTCCCAAGGTGCCCCACGAGCATTTCGCCCTGCTCGCCGGGCTCTGTTCCGCGCAGCTCTGAACGAAAAGCCTCCTGACACGTTCAGAGGTCTTGTTCCCTCCTTCGAACTTCAAACCGAATCCCAATCGTTCTCCAGGTAGCCTGAACACTTCCACTTCCTCCTCGAGCGGTCCATCGACGCCGTTTACTTGGTTCTTCGTCAAGGTCGCGGCTGGTTCCTCATCCTTCTTCCCGTTGCCTATAGACAACACCGTGACGAAGTTCTCTATCGGCGGTGGTTGACTCTCGACGCTGACCACCGTCACGAAATCCTCCGTTGTGCTTTTGGCCACATCCATTTTCCGGATCGTGCTTAAACCGTCCCATTCATCTCAGACACGTTGTTGATCTTTACAGCTCCGGAATGTTGGCCACTCCCTGAAAACAGGTCCCTGCTATTGTAGACGATCAGTGTCGTAATCGACGGACAAGTTCTCCAACAGATTCGAGCTAACTTTGTCCGATCCGCTGAGACTGAGAATGATCTTTCTTTCTTTCTTTCTTTGTTTTTTCGCATCGGGATTATTACAACTTTCTCTTTTAATTTCATTCAGAGCAATAAGCCGGCTTACGTGAGACGAGAATGCGGTTTTATTTACGTTACGTAGGGAATTATGAGAAATTATTAGGTTATCCTTTATTTTCTATATGGAACCATTTATTCTTGGTATTGCAATTTATTTCTTAATCGAAACGGCTAAATTAGAGATCGGTAAACGGTAAACGAGATCTGGTCGGTCGAGGGAAATTGGAATGTGTGCACCGTTCGCCAGGCAGAAATCTCGTGAATTGTCATCAACGCAACCATAGGAATAGACGTCGGCTAACTGTGTCACGTAAAGTCGGAGATCTTCTCAGACGGTCATTAAGCGTTCTTTAACTACTTGCCGGCGTACTCGCGTGACCAACTTAACGCGGAACTTTCATGTTTCTCGCTGGTAACTGCTCGTTTTCCTTACTGTTACAATACCATTAAACTGCAAATTGCAAACAAATATAAACTCACGCTTTGATGTAAATCACTGACAGCCGGCCGTTCTTGATAATTCTTACTAAAGTGTGCCATCGTTTTCACTGCGGTAATCAACGCGTTAATTATGGAAAAAAGATTCTTATTATGCCAGATTCGTTATGCTTTCGTTTCCCTTTCGCCATACGATTGTATTCGATAGAATCTTGTTGATCAAATAGTTATTACCGCTTCTCGATTATCGTACGAAAAAAGCATACGAGTCGCCTTTCGAGTGCAAAGGGTTAAATCCAAGTTTTCTCTTTAATGAGTCAATTAAACTTGGAACAAAGACGGAAAATCAGTTAATCTTGCTCGTCCGTTTAAATTATAAGACACGAACGAGGATGGACACGCGACAAGGATAAAAACGATCTTTCTCTTCGTTAGAGATCCTCTCTCTAGCAGCGAGAAAATATGTTCGCGGAGACTCGAGAAGACATACCACCGGCCAATAAGTGTCTTCAGGGGGCGACTCTTTATTCACCGCCTCCGTACGTTTTCACTCATCACCATCCCGATCCTCTAACGATATGTATATATTCCCGTACCGAGAAAGTATGCTCGTTTCTATCGAACCAACACCACGAACCGGCAGCACGTTTTCCCTTCCCTTTTCGTCGACGTTCCTTCCTCGGCCAAACGATTTCCGTCGAACGCGAGAAGTAGAAAGTAGATTGACCCGGGGTCGCTGGTTCGCAATCAGCTGATCGCCGTCTCGTCGAATCGCGGTCGTAATTTTTTTCATATTTTCACGGTCCTTTTCACGGATAATGCCTCTCTCACGCGGTTCGACAGAATGGAAAGTCTTCCTTGCGGCATCGTAAATCGGTCGGTGAAACACATTCGTACTTGCACGGTGCTTTTACCATCAATTTCACGACACTTTTAGACAAGGTTTCGTACGAATGTTCGATGACTTACGGAGCTGTTTAACCGAAGACGAGGCCGCGAAAGCTCGAAATCGGCGAGGAAGAAACGGGGATCCATTCGTGGATCCCGAGACTGGTTGTAAGGTGAAAAAATTGATTCGTGGACCGAGGAGGGCGCGGACACGGGGGAAGCCGAAGAACCATACAAGTGCCTGTAACGGAATTCGTAGCCGCAGGCCTGAACTCTGCCACATTCTCGATATGTTGGAATACGCTCTCTCGGCTGCTCGGCACCCACCGAGCTCTTGGTGAAAATACATATTACGAAACACTGTTCCGATTTGTAAGACGCGCCCGATCGATCCCACCTGTCCCCGATACTTTGCCACGCTTCAAACTTGACACAGAAATCCCGGAATCCGCGCGTCGCTTTATCTTCGATCTGTTCCTATTATTCAATTTAACCAAGTCGGAAATGAAAAAATTGAAAGAGGAAATTACAATAGTAACCCTTCAACTACCGATCCGTTCCGACACCCAAAACTATACCGCATCCTAATAAATGCACGGCTCGATTACCAGCAGGTAATCGGTTTGTCAAACAACCGGGACAGCTGAACCTGCTCTGAATTAATAAACCGCTCGAAACTGACCTACAACTCTTCCCCGTTCTACTCGTACGTCTGCTCTAACGCCGACAGACTTATTCTACTTTTCGTTCTGCTCCATCATCTCGCGTTTTATCACCTATCTTTACGACTCGCTAGTTCTCTCGCGTTACGTTTAATTTATTATCAATCTCGATCGATTAACATCTACTCCGATGAACTAACGCTTGCACAAATAGGATCATTAAATTCAGGATCAATGATTAATTTCGCATCGGGTGAAATGGTGAAACGCGTTTTAACGAGTAGCAATTGCAGGAGGAAGGTGGTCGGCCTTATTCGGAAGCAGGAATCGGCTGTTCCGCGCGGAAATGTTTACACTCGGTTAAGCGACGGTCTTTCCTATGGAATTCTGCATTTTCCCAGCCTGTTAAACGACTCTACAATGCGGCAGAATTGCGTAACAAGCGCGTTCTCCGTCACGCTTCACGGATTTTGACAGCGTGCTCCATTCATTACTCGAATCTTCGTGCATTCATCTTGCCGAGAAGAGCGTCATTAAAATTCGACCTGTTTTTTTCATTTCCTTCGCGATTCGTTTTCAAGATCCTTTCCTTTTTTTTTTTTTTTTTTTTTTTTTTTTCATTCATTATTCCGGCTTTAAAGAAATCACGCGACAGGTGACGTATTCCGAACAGTGTGTCATCAAACGATTGGGTAATAATCGAAGAATTCGCGTTGTAAATCGCCAAGTACTATTCATAGTGTCGCGTGTCTATCTTGGAACGAGTTGAAAAGAAACAGAGAAAATTGTGAATATAGAGAAGAAAAAAGGGAAATGAAAATAGAATTATTGCAAGGAAGAGCGTGTCGTTGGAGCGTTACGTGCACGCTGCGAAACATGGAACACAGCAAAGAGATCGATGTGGTAGTCGGTTTGTTTGGCAAGCGTCGACGCTTCCTACCTCGAAACTTTCACGAGGATCGAGAATAATAATTATCCGTACATCGGGCCTCGGAATGGCTGGCAGCTAGAAAATCACGGTCTCTCGGTTCGCTGGTAAATAAAATAAGAAAAAGATGAGAAAAACGCGAAATGCCATCGGGTTTCAAAGACCCGGCGCGATGTCCGCCACGACGTAAACTGGTTTCGCCAGAGAGGTTTCTTGTCGATCAAAAGGAAACGTCGCGTCGTCTCGTCTCCTGTTATTGGCAACCTTTTACTCCCACCGTGAGTGGACGGAATCGGCTGTAACGAATACCTTATTCGGTGGAACCGATCCGAATGACACATTAACCCTTTCGAAGGACGTGGAGGTATGTCTCGGCAAGGTGGAACGAAAGGAAACGGCAAACTTTTTCAACGCTCCACGATTTCATATCGGTATGACATTCATCGAAGCCTTACTAGTTGCCCTTTAAGAGAATTAACAGGATCAGCGAGCGTTCTTTCGATAGAGAATCGCCGTGTCGAGTCCAATATCATCGATTTCCACCTGTCGCGATTCCTCTTTTAAATCTCCCGAACGCGGCCGACTAATATTCCGAACGATAACCGCGACGTTATCACCTCTCGGATAATCAACCTGTTAACTTTCGCCTTTAATTTTATCATTTACACTTGCGTCAGGTGATATAAAATATCAACGTTTCTTTTCTCTTGTCCGACATAATTTTAAGTAGATTTACTACGACTGTCATAGTCTAATCCCGTTAAATTATCGCGTTCGTTTGACGAGATTAAGATGGCTGTGACTGCAAGCTTGTTTATTTACGAACGATTACCTCATTACGCGATAATACGAGTATTTATACTGCAATGACACATAATAATCGCGAGTGCATTTCTCAGCGCACAGTACGTCTTGCCACGTGTCAGTCGTTTCTAATGGCACTCAAAATGAGGTATTCCAGTCGAACGACTAAGTGGCAGAAACATATTATTTCGAATAAAGTTCAATGACTTTCATTTCGAAAGTACATCTCGCGATTTCGAAGTAGAGCGTTTCTTTACTCCGAATCGAGACACCTCCGACCTCCGGATCGTTCTGAATCCGCGTTACCCGGTTTCGCGACACGGAAAAATTCCCGACTTCACAATTCGTACCAGTTCCCACCCTCTACTCACCGTTCAATCGCCACTCGTTTTCATCTCTGAGAGAACAGCGAACCGGCTGGCTCCGAAATATCGAAATACCGAAATACCGAAATACCAACACCGTTCCCCGCCCACGTGATCTTCTTCAACTTGCCGCAGAATTGTCCATTTATCAAGTAACCCACTGTAGCTGGTTTAACCATTCGATTCTTCGAGCGGAAGTCGCGCGATTTACCAGTTACACCCGATGTTGCATGGGAAACATCAACGTCGAGAGATTTTCAACAGCGTGCCGAGTGGAATGAAGCAATGAACGCGATGAAATGGTAATTGATGGACAAAGGTGTAATAAGTTAGTGTGCGATCACGTGGCCGCGACAGCCGGAAATCGATGGTTCGACGTGCATTCGGGACAACGCGCCGTGCCGGACTGGCTCTCCAGTAGGCTGACTTTCTTCCACACCGCACCGCGGATCGCCCCTTTGATTACAAACACCGTCTACCGTCTCTCTTCCCCTTTCACTCTTTATCTTTCTCTCGCTTATTGCCTACGTTGCTCCTTCTCTCTTCCACTATCGAGGCCTCTGTGTGTGTGTGTGTGTGTGTGTGTGTGTGTGTGCGTCTGTCGTCCGCAAGAGTGCCCCGTTCACTCAACCTCCTTTGGCCGCGAGCTAAGCGCCCATCCGTTCCTCCCGCTCCGATGCCCATCCGAGTCCCCTTCTTTCCAGTTTTTCAACAATTTCGTTATACCATACTTAGATGAATTTCGTTGACGGTTAATGCGACAGCTTTCTGCTTTAATTGGTTCTAACGCTATGCGATAGAGACCGATAGTCTGAGGATCGCATTTCTGGTCAACGGACTTTTTTACATTTGAACGTTAACGATCAAGGCCGATGGATCTCGAGGAATGTTCTAATTTGCAAGATTTTCAGAGTCGAGGTTTTGCAGAGTATCAGAAGGTTTCGGTCCCACGGCTGTCGACGGGTACCTCGCTTCGGCAATCTGGGCTACCAGCCGATCCGATCCAACGAGATTCCTGCGGTGTACCTGTGTATTATCCTTGATCTCCAATGCAGGGCTCGTTGCTTCGAGAAAAAGGACATCTACATATATTCTCCATTGATCTTGCTCGAGTTCGTGGGATTCGCCGGTAGCTCATATTTCAAATACTCGAATCACTAATTTTATCGTATATTCATTTGTTATTCATCTATACACTTGTTCAAACTGAAAGATCGCACCGGAATTTGAAATTTTGTTCGAGTTCATCGAACTGTTAAAATTCGAATTTACGTAGAAAGAGGGAAAAAAGAGGTAGTTAAAAACGTTCGTCTTTCTCGGCTGGCGAGAGAATGCGTCGGCTACAAGATTCTGCGGTGCACCGACGCGACGTTCCATATTATCCTCGGACTTTCCATAACGATTAAGTCGAGAGAAAAGTGCCGCAGGCGTACTCTCAGTGCGCCTCTTCTACGTGGCTGTGTTATTACGCTCTGCGGTTCTCTCTTACCGCGTCTAGTCGTCCACTGATTCCAGAGTACCTTCGATAAATCGCGGCCGCCTCGAGGTCGCGACTAACCACACTCCTGCTACACGCTAACAAAGCTAATCAGGGTTACGTTGAAAGTTTCGAGTACGTGTTATTAGAATGAAATTTCGTGCGAGATCATCGCTCGTAGCTACCTGAACTGTGATCATCGAACCTTTGCCGCGATGGAAAAGTTTCCTTCAGGATTCTGAAAAACTTTCGGAGTGAATCTTGCGGCACGGCCTTCCATATTTCAACGGGATACTCGAGTTACGTCGAATCGATTCTCACCGATATAGAGCTGGCAAGTAATCCTGTCAGACGTGTCCGACATACCACTGGCCCCCTTAGCGAAACCACAAATCCAGTAGCCGGGTCGCGGATACCCGGGTGTACTTACTCGGTACACGCCAGCCGACGCGACCGACCGGACCGTTCCTTCGACCATTGACGTTTCCCTCCCAACCGCCTCATCGACCGTTGTTGATTATTTACCATTAGAAGCACTTTCGCCTGCTGGCAAAACCGTGCCGGTCGTTGGATACGGGAGCGGGCGAAAACGAGCGGAATGCCGGAAGTGGAATTATGCAAAAGCCGCAACAATGCAGACGCAGAATAGTTCGAAAGCGGCGATGGCCGTGAGAATGTTGCGTCGCGTTAAAGGGATCCCTTCCGTTGTGGTTTCTTCCGTTTTTCACTTTTTTCAAACATCAAACTAGAAATTCGCGATAATTTTCTGTCACGAAATCGCGCCAGACTTTCGAAATCGCGTCGTTTAATATGCAGCAAGCTAACAACTTAGATACCTACTTTGGATACGGGGTTCCCACGGCGCGGCGTTTCAAAAGTTTCATTACTTATTTTGTATAGACACCTCGTCAAAGAGAAACGTATCGTTGCTGCAGTTCGTGAACTCGCTTTCTCCGCGAGGATAATTCGTCGCGGGGTCGTCGTGACCCAAGTAAACGGGACCAGTTTTCACGGCTAGGTCGATCTTCGGATGATCGCAACGAGTTTTGATCGATCATCAAACGCGGGGAGGGAGTGAGAATAGCCGGTGGCCGAGGATTCGTCGAACGGGAGTAACGATTGCGGGCCCATGGCGAGTTTTAACGGTATATGTATTTCCATCGCGGAACGGAGATCTGGGTTGCTGGAACGAGCGGCACCGCGCAAGGTGCGCTCCTCTGATTTCGCTTGCCGTCTTATCAATTGAATATTTTGCATTTTATCCTATATCATCGGTGTCCCCTATTACACTTAGATTTTCTTACATTCTCCTAAATCATTTTCCTGATCGTTCAGGATTTAATAAATGCACGGTTAACCCAGCTACGTTCCATGGGACATTTTTGTTGTAGGCGTGTCTTCGTTTTTAAATAACTCTCATAGTTTCTCGAATATACAGGCTGTGCTTGTATATTTCTTCAATTATAATACCTTCCATCGTGAATCTCGTCTTTACCGTACGTCGTACTTTTTTCCCCGTGATGATTTAATGATGCGTTTCAGATGATTCCGACGATTCTCCGGAGAACCGTTTAAACCCGGAATCTACGGCAAGATAGAGGCGGTAACCGGGGAACAGTTCGAGCAACGGTGCAACATCGTTTCGTGCCAAGAATTTTACCTCCTGTTACGTTTCCCGTCCCACTATGCTCGCGATTTCACGTACTTTTCGTAGCACCGCGAATTAACCAATGACTTCTCTATACGACCGAATAAAATGAATTCAGGATTGATTTACGTAGACCGATATTGCCGCTTTCAGCGCGACAATATGTGTCTGACAGGCTTGATTTATTATAACGCGAGGAATGTTTTCAGCCGATTGGAAAATGGTGAAAAGTTTCTAATCGAACGCACGGTATACTCGTTGCAGACAGAGAATGATGCGGGAAAACGAAAAGGCGGCTTGGACTTTCGTGAAAGCGAATCTTTTTTTCGCGAATCGTGTCCCTCTCTCTCTCTGTTTCTGGTGGCCGGTACCTTTCGGAGAAAGAGCGGAGGCTGCCGCCTCCGGCGACGGAGCAAAAGGTATGCGGCAGGTGACTTTCCGATCGGAGCTGCTAGGTGTTTCGCGCACATATTCTGAACGAGGACAACGATCTCTGCCTGCCTCGGATCCAAATCACAGCGCCACGTATTGCCATTTTTTTCTCTCGATATTTTATACCAGTTAAATCATTCGAGAATTCATTACACGTGACCTGAAAATGAGATACTTCGAAGAAATTGCAAGGTTCGATGCAATTTTTCGTGATTATTAAGGTTTTCTATTAGAGAGTGACGTAAACCATGCTTCGCTCGGTGGCTTGTGAATTTAGGACAGTGTAGTAGAACGTGTAATATTCGTAATGATCGCGTATCGCAGAATCGGCTTGGCAATTAGACGAAAGTGTGCGAATATACAATAGGCAATTATAATTTTGAAAAGTGTCTGGCTCCGAAAGAGCTGTTTGTTCTTCGATTCAAACTTTTGTAACTATAGAAACACGATTCCTCGTTAAAATTTCATCTCGTCGGATGCGACCGAGTGTTAACGCATCTGTAACCGTTATTAAAACACTGCCACTCTTCTGGTCACTGCTCTTTTCTCGGCTTCATCTCACCACGAAAGCAACGAGTCGCACCGTTCCCAGCATAGGTGTCAAAACGGTAGAATTAAGAAAAAGGAAAAAAAAAAGAAAAGAAAGGAGCAAGCGTTTCCCTGGAAAGGACGCGTTTTCAGGGGTTAACGAACCTGAAATTTCGCGGTCCTCGAGGAACAGGTACACGGGAGAGATACGACGCGACGGAAGGTGGCGGAAGAAAGACAGAGAGAAATAAGAAGTCAAGATGGGTTCCGCGAGAGAAGTTGTGGCCTCTACCTTCTGAACAGAGATAAAACGGGAGATGCTTCGAGGAACAGGTAGTAACGGTACCCACAGGTTCAGGCCATCTCTTCAACCGTCTAACTTTGAATATCGCTTTTTCGGCGAGGTTCACAGTTTAATAGCCTTTTATATTCACCGAGACGAAGGCTCCTCCCCCGGCGACGCATCACGTTCTCATTCACCATTAAGCTTCTGCCATTTTCGACGCATTCTAACGAGACCGTATCTAATTAAATGCTCGTTTCACCGCGCCATTATTTATTAATCGAGCAATGGTGCAACCGCTTCTTATTCCGTCGCAGCAACGCGAGTCGAATTTCGTTCCACTCGACGAGCTTTTAACGATCAACAGCTGGCCACGCGTTGCACTCGATTTCCGTTCGTTTGGAAATCACATCGAGTTGCCATGCGTGTTCCCTCAAAGAGTAATGGTGCATCCTCGGTTTCGAATGTAACAAGGATTTTCTGGAACTCGACACGAGTCGAGCACGTGGTCGATTGGCCATCACCTTGTTACATGTGCACTTCAGAGTGTTCCGAAGTCCGGCAAGTGGACAGAAATCTAAATATGCTCTACCGTTTAAGCTGCTTTTTCGTACTTAATGACGTCTTCGCCACGATTCCTTAACCCCTTTTTCCAGTCCATAAAACAGAATCGAGGCAAAGGCCGGAGGCGTTCGTCGATTAACTGTACGTAGAACGATACGTGAAAATCGATGGACGAACGATTCGTGATTGGAATCCGTGGCGTTCCAATGGTAAAATCGTCATCGTGGAACAAGAGGATCGCAAAGGTCGCGACGATTCCGAGTCGTGACGCGAAAAGGCACGTTCTTGAAACGTGGAATCGAGGTCAGTCTCTCGGTGAACGGACTGCATGTTGCATGTTCACCAGAGATTCGTGTGTGGGTGCACGGACGAATAAAGAAAATTACTCTCCTGCATTTTGCAAATTTTTGAAATGACACTTATTTAGATCGCTCGAAGGAGGGAGTGGGGCCAAAGCAAAAATCGAATCACCTTTTCGTTCATTCGCAAAACAGTGTTTTTATTAAAAAACTTGTATTTGGTAAATAAGATTTTCTTCCCCTTTTGCGCACCGCCTAACGTATCTAATCGTGACAGCTACAAATCAGGGTTAACCCGTTATAACGACGATTCTTTCTCGCCACCTTGATAAGTTAATCCGTGGGAAGATTAAACAGGGGGATGATTGTTGGAAAGAGGACGCGAGTTACAGCGCTTTCTTTTCGTCGCCAGCGAGAACGATAGTGAAAGCAAGCCATTAACGTTTCGTGTAAAAGAAAAAAAGGGAAAAGAAAAATGAACGTTCCTTGAAAAAATTCCGAATATAAATGATTCCTCGTTCGCTTTCAAATCCAAGCGAACCGAAGAGAGCATAAGCAGTTGTTTTCCGTCGTCGTTAGCATCGTTTCGAATAAACAGTTACGAAACGAGAGGATTCTATTTCTCAAATACACGCACGCGACGTGTTATCCGGTAGGAAAAACACCATCGTTTTCAAGTTCCACCGTGAAATCGATGGGATTGCGAAACGATAAGGCGTGTCTCATCATTCAGAGGCTCGTTGTCCCTCCTGAAAAGGAATTTTCTCGCTTAGTAGGCCACGAAGTACAAGGACCGTTGGAAAATTACATCGCTATTATATACCACGGTCTTTTGATAATTACACCTGATAACAAGAAAAATTCCTGTCTTCTCAGATTTTTCCTATGCCACGTGAAATTTAAGATCCATGAAGAAAACGTAAAATTGCTTTCAAAAATTGGATCGTATTTGAATTTAATTACCCCATTCTGTCTTTATTCTCAATGGGTTACTAATGATCCCAATGGCACGGAACGTGTTACGAATCATCAATTTCAATGAACGATTACTCGATCAAATTGACAGAAGGTACAAAAGGCGTTGGATGATTAGACAATCTTGTATCCGCGTATCGCAAGCTCTTTATTGACAAATAAATAGGACAATAATGTATGTACAAAAAATAAATAAATAATAGGAAAAAACGTTCACCCGTCTAACGAACAAATATACGTCGATCACCTCGATAGAGGAGGCACGTGTACGTAATGACAATTAAAAAAAGTGTACAGAAAAAATAAAGAAAAAGGGAACGAGCAGAGTCGATCGATTCGATGAAGAAAAAACAAGAAAACGATCTTCCCTGACAACAGAGAGTACATCCTTTTGCGAGGATACCGGGTAAAAAAAACAGGCTTGCGTTCGTGTCGATACTTTTTTTTTTCACGGGCTTAAACGTAACAATACTAAGAGTACGATCGTCCTTTAACAAGTCGGATTTAACAATACACGATACGGTTTTTTAAAAATATTCTCTCGACTCTTGTCCTTATGCAATATGCAAAATACAGTTCAGCGTAGAAAAACTTCGCCTACAAGATTCCTATAAAAATTAGTTAGTCAACTCTGTGGAAGTCGGGGGAGGAGGGCGGGGGGGGGGGGTCCGTCTGTCCGTTCTTCGTCCAGTAAGACATACATGCATACGTACTGGAATCGTGGATACGAAACGTTATCAGGAAAGGGAATGAAATCGCGAGGTTAAACGTCTCTATGGAGAAAGGACAGGGATGAAACGATGTGAAAATGGAAAAAAGAAATATAGGAATCAGATTTTCTTCGTCGTTCGATTCTTATTTTTTTCTTTTCTTTTTTTTTTTTTTTAAATTCAATCTCGGTACGGAGCATGCGACAATGTTTCCCTGATCGGTTTCGCAATCTAATAATTGGGCTTGAGCAATCTAACATTGAGCAGTCGCGTGAGGAATCGATCTTGGACAGAACCGAGAGGCAAACTTCGCGCGTTATAGAAAAATGGATAAAAAAAGGAAATAACGTAAGAATCCTGATCCTCGAGGAGAAAATCTCGGAAGAAAAGTGTCGTCGAATTTTGCCCAATCGTTGAACGTATCTCTACTAAACTTTACTTAATCATAAATTGTCGCAAAAAAAGAGAGAAAAAAAAAAATCTTAGGTTACTCGTGTTACATCTATGACTAATCGTACGTAAATTGCAGAGTTAAGAGTACAAAAAACAAGGAGGAAAAAATATTGAAACGATACGGAATAGGAACAAGAGGACAGTCCTCGACGTGTATCATACTTATCATAAGTTACGCTGTTCTCTGCAAGGTAAAGAGACACGCTATAAATTGATCAAAAAAAAAAAAAAAAAATTAAAAAAAAAAGGAAAGGAAATACAGACATTACTCGCAACGTCTAATCGTTAGGATAAACTTAAATGTAAAAGCTTCTGAAAATGAAATACCATGCGTCAAATAGTTCTCCAAGAGAGTGACCAGTGATTTGACGTAAAAACTTTTTCCAAAAGAATTCCCGCGAATGGATGCGATGATCGGAGAACAGGAGATGTTTGGATGAATCGAGGAATGAAACGTTTGTCGTTTCGCAATCAATGATTAATCGATTGCGGAATATTCGACGCGTTCTCGCGGCGACAGTCAAATTGCGCGCGCTTACTCGCCGGATGTCAGTGACGGCCGGACGAACTTGTTCCTGTCTCGCTGCGATCGGTAGCATCGTTTTCGCGTGTTTACGTCGCCACTCACCCACCCACATACACACGGGCACATTCATTCACTCGTTTACCGTTTAAAATATTAATGGTGCGCAAAGAGACACGCGCACGCATACGCGCATCTCGCGCAATCCTTTCGAAAACCTTACGCGTGTTTCGTCTCAATTACCAACATCTTCGTTCTTAATATACATAGATGTATATGTATATATTACACGATCTCAAAACTATATGTATTATAGGCCTAAGAAATTTCATTTTTCTTTTTCTCATTTATAGCCACGAGCCGCATTTTGTATGATATAGAGAGAACTCGTCGCTCCGTAGGAAACATTTCTGATTAATCTTATAGCGCCGTACGCGGATTTGTCTGCGCGCGCACCCGCGCATGCGCAGTTGACGAGCGCCGCGCGCATGCACGCGCGCAAGTACGAATACGATCTAAGCGTTAACTGGTTTGTTAATTTTTTTTTTTTTTTTTTTTTTTTCAATCCGTGTTACACTAAATACGAGCGAGGCTTGACAAAAGTTTATAATACAACGATCGGTGACGCGAGCGTGCTTCGTCTGATCGACGGATCGGCGACTCGCGTTCCGTTCTTCTTTCTTAACTTAAAGCGTTTAAAGAGACGCGCGTCTTTTCGCGGGACGCAACATTCGAGAACGAGGGTATTCTATTTTGTATAGCGCGCGTTAACGTTAAGCGAGACGGAGCGTAAGCTGCGAAAAAACAGATAAGCTTCCTGGCCAGCCGTGCTCGCGCGACGTCGAGCCTCCTCTCGTCGGTTCCCGCTTCTTGGCACTTTGTTTTCGACGAGGAGAAAACGAACGCGCGTTCCGACCGACAATTTTTCGTCGAGACAATTTGAATAAAGCGCAAACGCCGAATCGAAACTCTGTTGCGCTCTTCTCTGCGAGCGGACGCTGTGTCGCGCCGTTCTGTATTTGTACGATTCTCGTTGCTCCGACCGAAACGTACGGTGATGCGTTAAAGCGTGTTAATTAGAGACAGAGTAGAATAGGTACTTGGTATTAGGTCATTGGTGCTCGAATCTCGTTACAGCGGTTTAAGTTACTGATTCGCGACGCCAGCAGAAAGACCGTTCCGCGAGGTCGAGGAAAGAAGTTTCCCATGAATTTCAAATGTTGTCGTCCTCCGTGGCTTTTCGCGTCTCGCGGAACACTCTTTTCGACCAGCCGTGCGCGAAGGACGCGAGAAAGGAACAAAGTACGAGCGACAGTAGTGATTCTCATGGAGAAAGGTCGCATCTTACGTGGATACTAGGGCTATTGATTCGAATATCCGGTTAGTCAAATATCTTAGAAGTCAACAGCTCTAATGGATATACTTGACGAGCGTGAACCGAAGGAGAATAGGAAAAAAATAAAAAAAAAAAAATAAAACAAACAAAAACAGAGTAGAATAGCCGTTGCGAAGATGAGAAAATACGTATATACATATACACGTGTATGGAACTTCTACCATTTCGTTCGATAACGTTTAACTTACTCAGCGAATACGGGCGTAATAAATGGGATTAGCTAATCAGTCTTCTGTGTTAGAGGCTCGTTTGCATCTAGGGCTTTTTGTCAACGTATGTATGTACTTTATCTTCGACGATTCGAGGGTTCTCTCGTCCGATTGAATTTCCATCGAACCGCTTTTCGTAATCGCGCGATGGGCACGAGAAAATTCGTACACGTTCTCGTTTATCATTTCATCTTTCGATTCGCTCGCGTTTAGCACCAATGGAGAAGGGCAGCGGGGGGTCGTGGATGAACCGCGAACAATTCTATTGCACGATTTCGAGGAGTAGAATGAAACGAGCTTTCTCGTGGCCGAACGCGAGAGAAAAAGCGACAAGATTCTTACTCTTTCGTCTCCTATACTCACTAACGACTCTGCATTCTGAATCTGCGTCCAGCTATATAATTCTCTCTCCCTAACGAACGTAATCTAATCTATAATATACGACAGTGTAACTGGTAAAAAGCCTAAAACCGTGCAAAGTGGCAATTAAGCGCGTTCATCCGTGCGTTCGTTCCTTCGTAAAATATATACGCATAGAATCATCGTAGCGTAGCCGTGGATTAATTGGCTTTCTTAATCGCCACTTTGATAAATTCTCTAACGCGGTATGAACGAAAGGAAGCCGATGTTTTCCCCGTTGTTCGATAGCCTCGTGGCCGAGACGAACGCGGGATACACGTAAGAAATAATTAACGTAAACTTTTCGCGTACATGGCTGCAATTTGGCCAGTTGTCTTCGTTTGTCTCGCTTTCATTCGCATCTTTTTCTTCCATCAGCGTAAAAAAGGCAGTGTCTGCTGTTAACGAACTTATACGTATTTAAAACTAATGCTTCTCACGAGAGTGACATGACACCTGGTATACCTGGAGAGAGAGAGAGAGAGAGAGAGAGAGAGAGAGAGAGAGAGAGAGACGGCCGTATGAAAGCAATCCCGTTAACGTCGAGAATAAAAATCCAAGTCAAATATCGCGTTTAAAGGCTTAAAAGATACAACTTACGGATAATAAATCTTCTCATTCTAAAAGACGTTGCTCGAGTCTGTGCAAAACACGCCTGGTCAAGACTTTGTTTTTCTTCCGTTTGGAACGTTAGCGTTAAGAAATGATAACTCGCGGAATCGTTGCACAGACACTGCCCCTTCCGAACATGTTCGTTCGATCATAGAAATACTAGATAACATGATTCTCGACGATAGACGCGTTCGCTGCCCCCAGCAATCAACGCGAGCGTGTATCAGTCAGTTCGAGTTGAGAAATTCCAAGTGTCTTGGAGTTTCAATCGCGACGAACCCGGGCCGCGAACGCGTTAAGACTACGTGGTTGCACCGCCGATATAACCGTTGTTCAACGTCTCTGGTTTGTTCACGTATTCGACCGTCGAGATCGTCTCCTTCTTCTCGATCCCGTTGTCGATATCCATCGCGTCCATGGATGGGAAATCGACTCGTAACGGTACAGTCTCCTTCTTCTCGACGGCAGACAGGATTTCCGGGCTACCGTTCTCGTAGTCCGGTGGATTCGTCAACTTGGACGAGTTTGGACTACTCAGGAAGCTTCGTTTGCCCGTGCTCCTCGGGCTGCCCGATCTGTTGCTCGTCGACAATTGACTGAGATTGCTACGCGACCCACTCTTCGCGTTTATGAACGGCGAAGTCTTTACGGACTTGAGGCTGTCCTCGACGAAGGGCAGGTTCAACGCATCTTTTCCAGAGATTGCAGAATCCGCGGAGACACCGTCGAAATCATCGAAGCCAGCCTTCAGTGGCACGTTCGAGGAGTTTAGATCGTGGCAATTGGCGGTCGCTTTCGAGTTTTCACCGTAAGAGTCCACTCTGTAGTGAGGACTGAAACTGTTCTTAATACTGCTGGGATCGAAACTCGCAAAGTCGTCGAAATCCTGCCTCAATGGAGAGTCTTCCTCGCCCTCTGCCTCCTCTTCCTGCAGGTCTTGCAAAGTGGCCAACTCTAGGTGCCTGCAATTTTTAAAATCACCGGGTGAAAACTCGCACCTTCGATGGGAGTATCGATTAGAAGTTATCGAGTTATACTTACTGATCGATTTGAGGCGACGTCGATCTTGTTTGATTCCTAGCGTCGATTCCCTCCGTGCTATGGTAAAAACTGATCAACTTGAAGGTATCCGAGTCGATGTGTTGCAGCAAGGTGGTCGCTATGTCCATAAAGGTGGGTCGTTTGGTCGCCTTGTGCCTCCAAGTCCTCTTCATCAGTTCGTATAACAATTCGGGGCAATTCTCTGGTCGTTTCATGACTCCGCCCTCGATCACGTACCGGAGAACCTGCAGAAAATAGGACATGGGCGGGTTGAGTAAGTTGGAATTCATGCTTGAAGCGTTATCGTTTACGAGGCAACACGCGCACCTGATCGTTCGATAAACCCTGATAAGGCTGCGACGCGAAAGTCACCATCTCCCACAACACGACCCCATAGCTCCAAACATCGGAATAGCTACTGAACACGCCATCCTTCAAGCTCTCCGGCGCCATCCATCTGACCGGTAAAAGACCTTTGCTTCCCTTTCGATAGTAATCTCTCTCATAAATGTCCCTGGTCATTCCGAAATCGCCCACCTTCACGGTCAGATCCTCGGCTACCATGCAATTACGCGCAGCCAAGTCTCTGTGAACGAACTTCTTGGTGGAAAGGTAGGCCATGCCGTCGGCGATCTCGATCGCCATCTGGAGTATTCGGTCCAATCTCGGTGGTACATTCGTTTCCTCGCAGGCACCTGGTCTGTGGCGTCTCAAGTACGTCTTTAAATCACCGTTAACCATCAGTTCCATGATTACCAAAGTTGGTTGACCTCGAGTAACCACGCCCAGCAACTTGACCACGTGGTGAGCGTCGAAACCCCTACGAAAATAAAGAAATAATCGGTATGATTAGCTATGGATTCGCGGTTTTCGTTTCGACTTACTTCATCACCGAGGCCTCGTTGAGGAACTCGCTGCGTTCTCGATCGGTAGCGTCCTTGTTCACCGTCTTCACGGCGCACCGTACTTCCGGGTTACCCTTCACGATGTCCCTGGCTATTCCCTCGTACACCATACCGAAGGAACCGTTGCCCAGTGACCTGAGCAGCTCGATCTTTTCTCTAGGCACCTCCCACTCGTCCAACACGTACGGGGTGCTCACGTACTCGGGATTCACCGTGGCTATCAGTGTTACGTTTGGCACGTTCCTCGTGTACTTGCGTTTGTACACGTAGAACGTAGCAAAGCTGAGAATCATGAGGATCGCGCACAGCAGCAACCAGAATATAACCCAGAAGATGCCCAGGGCGTTTCGTTCGTCGATGTAAAAGTACTTGACCTGGGTGTAGTCACCGTAGCCCGCCAGACTGGTAGCTCGAACCTTGACGGAGTAATTACCGGACGGCAGTTCCTTCAGGACGTACAAGTTGCCCGCTTTCGTGAAGTCGCGTCTAGTGATGCAGACTACCGTTGGTTTGTACTGCAACAGACAAACCCTTCACTCGTACTTGGGACTCGTCCAACGATAAGAGGGAAATAACTGTTTGATGGAGATTCGAGAGAAGGCGGAGCATAGATCGATTAATTCCTGCTACTTTTAAGGGTAATAACGAAGGCGTAAAAAGAAATTGGATGACTGGACGAAGATTGATTGCTTACGCATGACTCTCGACTCACGTTTTGAATGTCGACTCTTTTGTATTCGATTTGATAGGTGATGATCAGACCGTTTGGCTGCGGTGGTTCGTCCCACTGAAGCGTGACCATCGTGAGACTGTTGTTCTCGCCGGATATGCTCATCTTGAACGTATTCGAGGGAATATTATCAGCGGCCTTCATCGGCAACGTGCGATAGGTCCGCATGCTCTTCGTAGAGCACTTCTTGAACGTGTCGTTCATTTCTTGAGCTCTGCACGCCTGCACCTCGATGTTGTAGGCGGCGAAGTGGCGCAAATTTCTCATCACGAACGAGAGATTCGTACTGTTCACCAGACGCTCGAACACCACATACGTGCCGTTCTCCAACTTGTCCACGACAGGCTACGGATTTAAAAAAAAAAAATAATCGGTGATTTCGAATCTGAAGAAATTCCTTGTCGTTAGAAACGTGAACGTTCTGGGATTACTCTACCTGATCCACCGATTTCGGTTTCCTAGAAGAAGGAAGGAAAGAAAATTCGTCGAGATCGCGTTTTCTTCTTACGTTGGTCTTTCGTTTCACGTAGACCTGATTGTGAAGCGCATCCTCGAAAGCGATTGCGCTGGAAGCTTCCTTTTCTCGAATAGTCTGATCGGTTTCTCGGTCCGGGCACTCGCAGGTCTCTGTTTCCGGCGTGATGCTCTGCTCCTTCTCCTCCTCCATCCGTTTCCTCTCTTCCTCCGCCAGTGTGATCGCTTTCTTGTCCGGTAGCAGTATGGCTGGAACATCCGGCTCGTTTCAATATTGCAAACGGTATTAGTAAGTCCGTGGAATTGGGGATGAGAGTGGCTAAGAACATCGGATTCCCAGACCACTTATGCCCGTGGATCCTACAGGTATACGGAAGGTATCGAGGCTCTCTAATTATTGTTGCGGTACGAAGACCCATTCTATGGCCTTTGCTTTCTGTTTCCCGTGGATTTTACGCAAATATAAGACAATGGAAAACTTAACTTACGTTCCTCGCAGTAGTTCCTTTGGTCGATGAAATTGGGATCGTCGGGCTCCCATCTACCAAGGATCCGATAGTGGGTCAAATTTCCGTTTTTGTGAAGTGGCGGTAACCAGGACATGTGAAGCTCGCTGCTCGAATTACTCCAAGTGAAAAGGGACCTGGGCGAACTAGGAGCTTCCGGCATCGTCCTAAAGTACATTAATTTGCTCTGCGCTCCGGACCTCTCCGTGGCAATCGTGTAAGTCTTCACGTAATAAGCGTACTGGGTATAGGGCTTCAGTTGGGACAAGTAGTGCGTGTATACGTTCTTCTCCTGCCGGCCAGGGATCTTCGATGCATCCGTCAGGTTGGCGTTCGTGCTGGCAGCCACGTCGTCCACCTTCCATCCGTCGCCGCCGCATGCGTCCCTTCCGTCGTACATCGTCACGTTTTGATTCGGTGCTTCGATAAAGTAAACCACGTAGCCTAGCAAAGATCTCGCGTCGTGATGGATGAAAGGTTCCCATTCGATCACCGCGCCCCACGGTGACTTTGTGCCCACCCTAGTCTTCAGTTCGGTGACGTTACATGCCACCTTGTCGCCGTTGCTGTTCGGCACCACCTCGTAGTCCGTGAACGGAGGCAGGCCCGCTTTTTCGCGCAGTATCTCGATCTTGTACAGACACAGTTTTGGATTCAAGTGGAAGAAGATCTTGCCAGGGCCATTTTTCGACAATATCTGTATGTCCTTGTGCCAGCTCCAGTCCCACAGTTCCTGAAGATTCTGGTTGTCCATCACTTGCAGAGTGTACTTGGAGTTGTCGATGTCGTTGCCTCGTATCACGCGTAGGTTCTTTAGGAAGTTTAAAGATATTAGCGGGAAGCTTCGTACGATCTTCAGATATCCGTCGATCTCCTCTATGGTGCTCAGACCATCCTCCAGTTCCTTCACGATGTTCTTACCGCCGCGTATCTGGATCTCAAGGCTACCAGTTATATGCGTACAACCGCGTAGCTTTTGGGCCGAGGCGATGCTGTCCACGTTAGCACCGGCGCAATCTTTTTGACAGGGACCCTCGCACTTTTTGCACGAACCCTTGCCGTTCGCCTCCTCGTCCTCCATGTAGCCTGGTGGGCACTCCATCACGCAGCTGCCGTTGAAAGGTTTGTACGGATGTTTCTTTACGTTTAACGCCGCCTCGCGAGGTTTCCCCATCCGTCTACACTTGTCCTCGTCGATGCACCGATGATCCATGAACTCGTAGGTGTCGTTCGGACAGCGTTCCCTACACTCGTTGTCGAGGCTAACCACGTACTTGCAGACGACGCAATCGCGATTCGTCGGTCCGGTACACATACCCAGACACGTCGGGTGACAACATTTTCCTGTCTCGTCGCAAGCGTTGTTCTCGCACGTTCGGTCGCATACTGAAATTGAAACATCGATCGACCCAGTCAGACGATTGCCGTTTCATTTCCAAACAAGGAAAGTTTTTGCGAAGCAAGAACATTAAACACGAGTTGGACGGATAATCACGCGAGTACTCGCGAGAAAGACATAGCAGACGGATCCCTCTGCTGGCGAATTCCGGAAGTATACTCTGAGAGTATTACTCTCGACGAGAGGGAACGATTGAAAGGACGTTTAATTTCGACGGATACAAGCAAAAATATCCCGTTTCCGGATAAACAAGTTTACGCGTGCGGACACCCCACGGACAGGTATGGAGAATTGGCTCATCGGGAAGAAATTCTGTCACGTTATTTTCTAGAGACACGTGGCAAACTTTCCCCGTCATTTTTTCAGGAGGGAGCAGACTGCTAATGAACGCGGTGCGATCGATAAAATAACACGTAGCAAGTAAAATGTATGACTTGTGCGAGGACAAAGAAGGAAGAAGGAAGGGGAAGCAGGTAAGGTGATTTCGTATTAGTGTCTTTAATAACGATTCACGGTGCGGCTGTGGAACTCAAATAAAAAAAAGAAAAAAAAAAAGGAGATGCAGGTATGATTACTTCGTTGGCAGTGTTCTTGATTCCAGCACAGGTACTCGTCCTGTTTGGTCAGTCTTTGCGGACAGTGTTTCTCGCACACCGGGCATCCATTCTTACGATTGTTTCCCTGCAAACAAACAAAGTAATTATTAAACCTAACTACGCAACACGGTATCTGCTCGCGAACGATTCACGCCTCTTTAACGCAGAGGCGTCAGACGCTCTTGTATTCGTTACACGAACGCGCTGGGCCAACCATTGTGCCAAAAACGGGAAAGATAACTTCACCTTCTCATCGTTAAGCGAGCATCGAACAGAAAAATTCCTTAATTCTCGTGTGAGCTGTAGAGTTGTATAGCCTCGGATCGATACGACGTCTGGCGCCTTCTATTATTTATTTTTATTCCCGTCGATCTCTACTTCCCTCATCGTCTTAACTAAAACTATTATTTCCATGCGCCGATACGATAAACACTGCTTTTCTTCTCTACCTTTCCCTCTAATCCGCCACTTAACGCGTTTACACGGCGAACTCTTCGCCGCCGTACGTAACAAACTGTTCAACTTTTGTTTTCCAATAGTGCGAAATGAAAAAGCGATCATACTCGTTTCAATTTTTTTTGTTACAAATAAGAAATAAAGATAGAGGTGTTATGAGGTACCTATTACGTTCTTTATTGAAAAAATAATAAAAAAAGAGAAGGGGATTTGAAAATCCTAGAGTGAGTACATTTTTTTTTGTTTTTCCGAAGGAACAATGAGTAAGCTTTAACGCGTCGCTCTCAACTCGTTGAAAGCTCGAAACTCGACAACGAACCCTCGACCCTCGATACGCTCGAATTTTTTCCACCGCCACCCGGAAACTAATTAACCCTTTGACCCGGTCACGTTTTATCGATCAGACTCGCAGACTCGATCTGTCTCTTCTATCGAGTCGATTGAAAGCGAGAGAAAATTTAAACAGCCAAGCTTTCTTTCAACATCTTTTCTATTTCTTTAAAAAGTTCTGCCAATTTCGAAGCTTGCATAGCTTTGATAGCGATGGGTCTACTTGAAGCCTGGCTGTTTCGATTAATTAGCGCACAGGGGAAAATCATCGAATTACACGCGTACAGAGAGGTCGAGTGAAAATGTCAGAGATTCATCTGACGGAAACGCGGCGGGTGTACGCGACTCTGTAATATAGAGTAATACACGTGAGCGTCGGGTAAATCAATAAAGAACCACGATGTACGAGGTGGTCGAGGTGGTCGTGGTGGTAGGTCGCGAACGAAACAGTCGCCCGTTGCATTTCAATTAGCGAACAATCGAAATTTTAATAAAACTTGCCGATTAAAAGGGGTCGTTTGCCGTTGTTAAGCGGCGCTCGTTGGTCCCGTTCGTTTGGTTTTTCATTAAATTCGCAAGCTCGTTCTCGCACGGGAAATAATTCAGAACGTAACTCAGCCGCGATTATTAACGCCGACGGATTCCCTGTCCCCTCGATCTCTAAAGCTCGTTTTTAACTCCACGCACAAAGCTCGCGTTTCACGCGAATACTACTTTCCATCGGCGGCTTATTTATTTCTCAGACTACATATTGTGTTTAACACCTCGACGCTTTAAAAAGATACAGAGACGTCGATGGCGAAATTAAACGAACGGTCCTCGCGTTTTGTAGCTCGGGTGATGATGATCTTCAAGAAAATAGATACTCGAATCTCTGCGAGGAAACTCTTTTGCGTTCAGCGGAAGATCCGGGTTGGATATTTTTTTCCTTTTGCGAACGATAGAATGATCGGCGGAGTTATTCAGATTTGTAAATGGCGTGCAGAGGGCTGGATTCGAGAGAAGGTAACGAACGAAAACGACACGGTCTACCTTCTTCGTGGACAACACGACCACGATATTATTACCCTGCCACCGAGGACACTCGGTCGGTCTACGCCAGAAATAGTCTGTCGCGACCGGTGCCAGCAGCGATTCTCTGATTTACGCTGGAACCGGCTGATATTATTGCTGTTCGCCGGTTGAAATCGTCGCGGATGTCGTGCGCGACCGGAAGCAATTGGCCCTGAACGAAACGATCCTCGCGGAAACCTGACCTCTCTACTCTTGGACAAAGAACACCCATTCAAGTGTAAAATAAACTAATATAATTTATAAAAAAAATATTAAAAATACCGCGCTCTCTCCGATAATGTAGTTTACAAAAATGATATCTCCAGCAGCGTACACAGTGTAGATGTTTCGAGTGATCAGTAGCCTGTCACGATGTACGATTATTCACTCTCGGCCAAATGGAATTGTTTACAGACGCGACGCGACGCGACGGGAGGATGCCAACGAGACGGTTCGTTGCTCCTTCGGCGGAATAATGCAGCCGTGTAGAGGATGGTAAATTTCTGCCAAGATGGTAACTTGGCTCGTGCCAGAAGGAACCGCTATTAGCCACGATTCCGATTTCTTGCCGTACTAGAATGGAATTCTTGTGCCAAACGAACGGAACTCGTCTCTAAATGTCATGCCGCGGCGCGTTTCACCCGTTCCTACAAACTTTCGACCATAACAATAACAACGAAATTGTCTAATTACTTTCTTCCCACGACTCTGACTCTCTGATTGAAATTTACCCTGGGAAAAGTTAGGGTGCCGTTTAACCTATAACCTTACAGGCTTAGTCTTTCAAAGTAAGGAACAGCTCAAGTTGAACGTATCCGTACTTACCGAGATGACGTTCTCTCCTTTGCCAGCTTTAGTTATCAAGTCCCAGTCGATCGTGTCCACGTAACAAAGCACAGGATTCTTTTCGAATCGAACGGAACCACGCACGACCGTGGTCAGACTGTGGAGGCCGATCTCTTTAAGATGCATCATCTCGAACGCGACAAGGGCATAGTTGATGAACAATGAATGGCCACGAATCACGGTCAGGTTAGGGAACAGTTGACCGATGCTAGATAACCCCATCACCCTGTAACCAAACGGGAGCAGGAAGAATGAAAAGGAGAAGCCTGCTTGTGAATGGGAAATCCGGCTCCGCGTACTTTACGATGCTGTAAAAAAGTGGTCAGAAAGGGAAAAACGAGCAGAGGAGGAAGCGAAGAAAGAAGGAACCGGTGAGATAATAACAACGTACAACCGATAGGAAGTTTAATGAGCCAGCAGGGTGGAAGGAAGTCGTCTGGACAATACGATTCCTGCTCGTTTCTATTAGACTGAGTAATTTCAGTCCTAACTCTACTGGTTTTTTCTTCATTTTCGTTTATAAAACAAATTGATCGGCAATTTTTCGTTATCGAGTGTATCAAGTAACTTTTAGAAAGTTTTATTTACCTGTACAAAAGTAAGTATCCGGTAATTTCCTTCAGTTCCGGGAATGAAATGTCGGCGAGCCCCGTAACCTCTTCAATTAGCAAAATTTGTACAAATCCTTCGACTAAGCGGCACCCCTTCAGTCTTTGAAAATTACTTACCCTGTTCCTAATGTCGATACTTTGGCACACTGCAACAAACAAGCAAACGAACGAAATTCTTTATTTCGAGTCGAGAGAAATCCGGAGGGTAATACGGATTATAATCATGTTTCACCAGTCTGATTGATGCGTTGCGAACGTAACCGATTATGGTTCGTCTAAAGGCAAGGTCGAGCAACCTTGTCTTTTAACCCGACTAGATCGCTGATATCCGTTTTGCCTTCCCTTCTGCCTCCTCTACCGACAAAACCAAATCAATTTGTACGTACAAGTTTATTCAAACGATTCCAAGGATTGCACCAATTACACCCTGCGTGTTCGGGGCGCTCGTTCGAAATGACAATAACGATAACAAATCAACAGACGACATGGTAGAACGCGTAGAAGATATTGTCAGTTAGTTCCTTCAAACACTTCCTGTCGTAACAAAGACGACCATAAATTATCTCCTTCAAAATCCCAGACTTTCTCCTTACCCACTCCTCCATACAAAATTCCAATAGTTTTTCCTCGGACACTCGCTCCCGTTTTTCAGCAGAAAGAATTCGACCTCTGATTAGTTCGCATCGTTTAGTTAGTTGAAATAAAGATCATTTTTCGATACAAACAACATTTGGTGTAATTGCCACCCTTCGGGTTTCCGATAATATTATATTGTAGGCGTTTAGTGGAAGGCCAGGTGGCAGTGGGATGGATCGGTTCTCTCGCTGGCGGTCCCACGGCATGCGATTCGAATATACAGTATTGCCTCGAAATAAGCAACTCGCTCGGGACCGAACAGTTGCTTATTACGAAGCAGGTATGCTATTGGGCTTGAGGAATAAAAGATCGTCAAGATACGTCACTCGTAGAAATGAGTGAGAGATCCGAGGTAACGGCAAACGGACCTCTCACCTGGTGGCCAATTGAAACAAAGAAGAAGGGATAGCGAGTTACTTACTTCGAAGCAGAGACCACTTGCTTATTTCGAGGCGATACTGTATAGGAGTTCCGAAAAGTGGGGTTATAGATCGTCTGTCGCCAGCCCCACTGACGGTCTGGCAGACAATATCGACTTTGATTCAGAATTTTCGAATAACATATTCCCAGGGAACGGTGAATTTTCCTTGTATAAGTATATTAAAAAAAAACCGATTAGATTCAATCCCCATCGCGAAACCACGAGTCGTCCAGGTAACCCGAACAGAATATAGATGAGGATGGGTGGTTGTTGTGTTGGTGGGCAAGTAGAAACGCCGAATCAGCCGAGGAATTAAGGAGCTTGGGAATGCCGGTGGAGGAATTATCGCGGCTTGACGTCTTTGGAATGCACGCAGAGAAGGAGCGTGTTCGTCCACGTGCAGACAGACGGTGTCGTCTGCCAGCTCCGACCGTGATGGACGTTTGTTACATCGTAGTCTGAAACAAGCTCCGGCAAAGTGTCGACTACACCAGCCACCCTCGATTGTAACGGAACGAGCGCTAAAAATACGTACGACAACGACGGCTGGCATTGGGATAATAAACACGAGGGCGGCAGTTTTCATCTAGCCTCCCTCTCTCCGTCATCCTTCTTACCGAGCCAGAAAAATGAAAATATCCGTCGTTATCAGACGTACAAACGATGGAAGATTGAAAAAAATCATGTGCACAGAGAGAATTGATTGGAGAGGCTCATTTTCTTCGACGGCCTCGAAACGAAAATCAACGTCACCCGACGCCTACATGGACGCCCACTTGGCATGTTTGTCATCGAACATAGCTCGATAACTAATAACTCGAACTCGTTATTATGTCTAACGAAAAGTCACGATTGTCGCTCTTTTATTTAGCTCTCGACACGGTTACCTAGCGAAGGAAAGGCGAACGGTAAGCTTAGACAGAGCTCAAACGTCGTGATCGTTTGCTACACCACTGCTGATTATGTGTTCATAATGAATCAGCCAGCTGCTGCCACGCGCCAACCGAACTTCCGCTTATCGTCTAACGATCTGACGACTGACTGATAGAAAAAAAGAAAAACGAAGGGCCGGTCAACCGGCGCCTTTATCACTGCTACTTCTCTCTTTCAAAACAAAATTGTGTTATTATTTACATTATCAGAACACATCCGGACATTCTTGTTATCTTTGAAGATGGAAGGGGGTTATTACTCGGATTTCCCTTAAACTAACAGCTAAAATAACATCGAGTAAACATATTGCGTCAATATGAATTATGCGATAGCGTTGGCCTGATACGAGCCTGGCGATTTTTTTTCGTACGCGACTAGAATTCGATTCCATGTGAAAGGCGACACCTTGAACGCGAGAAAACGAAGAAACCACGTCAAGGAAGCGCGGTGGATCGGATTTAGCGATTTCAGCTAGTCGATGGAGTCGCATAACGCTAATCGCGGATGGTAAACGTTTGCCACGCATCCGCTTTTCCCTTTCAACCCTTTCCATACGGAGTAAGTTTATAAAACAAATTACACGAAGCTGGTATCTAATCGTTGCGCGTCTACGCAGAAACGATATCAATTCTGCATGGGTATCGTATAAACTCGCGCGGCAGGGGGGGGGGGGGGGGGGTCTCTTCTCGTTATCAAATCGAATTCTACTTTGCTTTCGTGAGCAAATATTGCGTAACAACGGATTGCTGAAAGAAATAAAAAATGTACCTGGCCCTGGAATCTGGACAAGAAAAGCGTCATTTGCTACTGTTATCTTGCGTAGCGTTATGCACAGTTACACACGTTTTGTTTTCTATTTATCCACGCGCAAATTATTTGGAGTTTTATACCAGAAGCTTACTTTCTAATTTAAACGTGACAATTATTTAATGTGGTGCAATAATGTTACCACGAGCAACCGGTTCTCTCAGAGGATAGTGTTGCTAACGGCAAAATAAAATTGTGTTATTCATGAAAATTGAACAGAAAATCCGTTAAGTAGCTTTTAAAACGCTTAATGATCCGTATTATTGATTTAGATGAATGATTTGCAGAAACATTAGATAAACGACGAGTAACCAATAATTTGTTGCACAGATATCGTATAAAATGATTGTTTTCGCTCGTCTATGAAGCGAAAGTCACGATTTTCGCGATAAGTGTTAGGTTGATACCGATGGCGCGGTTTACTTTCACGTTCACAAAATCGACCGAAAGAATTGTGGTATAACTGTTAAAATGACCGCAAAGATTTTGTATGGATACGGTATGAAAAACTTATCGGTAAAAAGTTGAAAATAAGTACATAGATGTGGAGACAAAGGACTCGCGTCGCCGACCTTCCGGATGGATTCTAGTGTATACAGGGTGTTAAAAAATAACCTGAAGACCTCTACACCGCTGGATAGATTACAAAAAATCGAAGTGAAAAGTTCTGTAGCATTTTTCGATAGGATCAGTAGTTTAGCCACATTTAGTTGTTGAAAATTGAAAAACTGACCAATCAGCGCGCAGCTGGAGTCTCATCTTCGATCTCAGATCCTAGAGTCTAACAATAAGTACCGACTGGTACTCGGTAGATTTACGACTAATTAATTAACAGAAACAACGTACAGTTCAATAAATTATCAGAGTGAGCGTGTGCCGATCATGGGAAATTCGTATATCGAACCGTATGGTTCTTCCTCTCGATCCTGTCGGGATCAAAGAGAAAATTTTATAACGAATAATAACGGAGCACGGATCAAAATTGCTGTCGATATTACCGAGCAATTACGCGCTATAAAATTGACTAACATTGTAAGTAGTAAACCGTGTACAGCGCTACGGAATTTTACGTGGTAATACTTAATATGCACCTCAGTCAAACGTATCTGGTCGAAGCCAGTTTACTCTTCTTCCGTTCTTCAGCGGTTTGCCAAAAACGACTGCAGATCTTGACGTAATCCCTTGCCGCGGTTAAAAAACCAGACGATTGGCTCGTCTGAAATCGTGCTCGATATAGGGATATATATTTAAATTGTCAATATTTTCGAAACACTAAGTTGCAAAACCCTTCTAGTATGATGATCAGGAGTAAATAGAAGACCTACAACAGTTAAATACGTTAGGTACGAGAAGCATGATTAAGAAATGTTGCCGACAGCGGACCCATTATCGTCCTAAGATACTTAAATATCTGCTTTTCGTATCGTCTGCTGTCTATCACGGGGTATATAATTAACTAACACACGAGCAGAAAGTACACTCGTCCTGTATACATTGTATCATTTTTGAGTGTGCATACATATCGGAGCGTCGATCGGGGTCTGCGCGAAAAAATCAACTACTTGCCTTTCAACTAAGGAAAGAAGAAACAAGGTTGCTATTGACAGCAGATAACTCGTTGGTTGCTAAGGTACCTCGCCTGTTAATAAAGAAAATAAAATTTTATCAAAGCGTGAGCATCTACCGGTTGGCAAGGGATGAATACGATCCCAGCAGGTATCTGATTTTCTGTCAAAGAAGATCATTCCTCGTGAGGCATGATAAGTCAGTTGATCAGACCTGATACAGAGGAAAAAAGGATAGTTCGTCAATTAAAAAACTTTTATCCGTGAACACTGATCGGAGCCGGTTTTTGGCCAATGTACCGCGATCCTCCTTCAATGAGGTCGTCGATTCTGCGAAATCTAATGAGTTTCTTTCCATAGGGTCGATTCTTTCTGACCACCGGCGAGAAGATTCATTTCTATGCGAACCCATCACATAGACACGGAAAAGTTTGGGAAATCACTTCGAATCAAATTAAAGCTAAATTGGAAAGTGGGTAAACGAAAAATTAAGTTCGGCTAGCAAAGTGTTAAAGAAAGGATTCGATTCGATTATACTTGCCCGATAACGGAAGGATTAGCGAGCAAGTTGTACGGTGACCTATGATACGGTGCTATTTAGAGGCGAGCAGGGTTAAAAATAAACGTAACAGCATCGAGGATGAGACTCAATGGGGTCGATCGAATCGTTGACGCGATCTACTGAAACAGTAGCAACGTTGCTACTATCCTGAACCTCTCTGGAGTCTATTAAAAGCATCTCCCTCTTCCCCGTTTTCAATCGAGAAACCCGCAGATTAAACTC